AGCAAAAACCTCTCAAAAAAAAAAAAAGAATTACTTTATCTGACACTTACTTATTTAAATTTGACTAGAGAGGGACAGAGTGAGAGAAAAAGAGGGAAAGTGAGAAAGCAAGCTGCCAAGTCCAGGACTCAAACCGTGGTTGGCCGTGTGAGTCTAGCTCCCTTAACCACCATACCACCTTTCAGCCCCCAAGACCTTATTCAAATCAGGGTTTTATTAGTCTTTTGATAGCTAAACTTACCTTATTAAAGGAGAAACCTAGAAGTTATACTTGTATTAATTTCTTAGGGTTTCCATGACAAATTGTGTGGCTTACCACTTCACATATTTATTCTCTTGTCGTTCTGGAGGCCAGAAATCTAAAATTGAGATGTTGGCAGGGCTTGCACTTCCTCCGAAGTCCTTCCTCGCCCCTTCTAGCCTTTGGTAACTCCAGGATTTCTTTGGCTGAGGCAGCATAACTCCCGTCTCTGCCCCCAGGATTTACATGGCCTTCTTTTCTGTGTTTCTTCTACTGTTTATAATTAGGGCCTACCCTACATCCAGAATGATTTTATCCTGAGAGCCTTGATTAGATCTGCAAGGACCATTTTTCTGAATAAGGTTGAACTCACAGGCTCTGGAGGTTAGGTCTTAGACATACTTCTTTTGGTGCCACTGTTTAGCCCACTACACAGGTAAATACTACATGATTTGTGCAACGTAAAAAGTTGAAGGTATGTTGATGGCAATTTTTGCAAATTTTATTTCTGAACTTTTTAATGTGAATTGTTTGTTTATTAGGAAATATGCAAAAGCTGAAACACTTATGACAGTCACTGATCCTGTACATGATATTGCATTTGCTCCAAACTTGGGAAGATCTTTCCACATTTTAGCAATAGCAACCAAAGATGTGAGAATTTTTACTCTAAAGCCTGTGAGGTAAGTTTTAGAAAATTTATGAATTTGAAAATGTTCTTACTTGTTGATTATCTTTATTTGTGGAGAAGAAAATAGAGGTGACTATGATCTGAAGAATGATCCTTTTTTATTTTTGAGATTTTGTCCTTTTTTTTTTTTTTTTTTTTACCTTGGGGCATGCTGAGCAGGGAGAGACATAGAGACAGAGAGACAGAAGCGAGAAATACCTCCCAGGGGGAATGCCCATCCCTCCTCCTAGGATCATTGTCATGCACATATATGTGCCCAGCATGATTTTCAAGCCACCGGGTCTTGTACTCGAACCACAGTTGGCCATATAGGAGTCCAGTAACATTAATGTTACCACTACACCATCTGCTGGTCCCTGAAGAATGATTTTTTTTTATTTATTTAATTTCATTTGTTGTTATTATTTTTTAATTTGATCAGAGAGAGAGAGAAAGGGAAAATGCGAAAGCAAGTCAGCAGGTCCAGGACTCAAACTGGTTGGCCATGAGGCAATCCAGTTCCCTTAACCACCGCGCCACCTGCCAGCCCTGAAGAATGATACATTAGTGAACATTTTATGTATAAATATATGACTTTTTGGAATGGGGAAAATTAGTAAAAATAGACTTATATTCTCTTAATTGTGTTTTATTTAGACTAATACTAACAATGCATTGGATCCTTTGACTATAATTTATACTCAAAATATTATTGTAAAATAAATGAGAAATGCTAGTCTATTCAATGAAAAAGAAATTGGAGACATTCTTGTGAATAAACCTGTTTTGCTTTAATTTTGAATTATGAATTTCAGTTCTGTTTCTCCTTCTTTGTTCTATCTTTCCTACTAGCTCCCCTTCCACCTTTTTTTTTTTTTTTTTTTTTTTAAGGTTTTTGCC